AGGGTTTACAATATTTATCATTGTTATGACATATCTGTTAATAAAAAATATTTATTTATATCAAATGGCAGGCGTTTTGATACTTATCATTGGCCCTTTAGCTGACTTCAGGCTTCACAGAGAAGGGGGGAACATCAAAGCGATAAAAAGTCGAGAGGGGGGAGGGAGGAACAGAAGGGTGTTTCAAAGATGTAGAGGAGACAGGCGCGAAGGTAGAGAAAAAGGTAAAATGAATACTGTGAAAGTGGTCGAATATGACATACAGTGGAGTCATGGTAGTTTGAAGTCAGAAGTCAACTGCCAGTTAATAGACTTTTTTGCCGTATGAGTATACGTTGCCCGGGGTGCACCACGAGGAGGTAAGCCTATCGCACACCCCAATAAAAAATATTAAAGCTCACGAAAATAACCTCAACAATTAGTTATAGTTTTTTGAGGTTATATTTGCTCATTATTTACTCTTCTAATTTGTCAAAGTAATGGAAAACACTATATCCATTTGAATATGATCATTCAGAAAGCTTTCAACAGATTGCGGCGAGTAGTTAATTCATACAGCGTGAACTTTGATTTTAAATGTTTAACACACTGCCAGTACAATGCTTCAAAATAAATTTGTAATATTTTTAGTGTTCTAAATTGTCCTTGATTTGAGAATTTTCTGGCTAGAGAAAGAGTTTTTCGATTTAACTTTCCTGTATGGTGTTGAGTTAGCTCAGATTTCTTCATACCGTTTTAGTGCGGATTTGAAAATTTATTTATGCAAAGTTACTATTATCCTTTCAATGGAAAATTAACTATTGCTCGACATATGGTGTCTTTCGAATGTACTATTATTATTATCATTATAATTTCAGTATTCTTTACCAGATGGAATTTGGACTAGTTTGAAATTTGATCAAACTTTCCATTTCTGATTACTTGACTGTTCTACAAACCGTTTATCAAGAGGAACACGTAATACAGATTTGTTACGATTTGAGAGCGATGCATTTACTTGATCGCGTATCCGAAACATTGCTCATATTTCTTCATTACGGCTCTAGTTTACATGAATACAGACATATTGGAATAATGATAAACCACCCTAAATCGTTGAAATGCCATTTTTTAATGGAGAAACAGGATCACATTTATGTAAATCATGGATAATATAAGCAAATAATCAATAGATCATCAGCCTGAAATCAATGCTTCGGTGTAACGATCATATATAAAATGCACTAAAAATAAGAGCATCCATGTTCTGATGTTTATTAATGATATGCTCCCACGTTATCGAAAGGCCTTGATAAATTATAATTACGGCCATCGAAAGGTATCCTAATTCAGGACTATTGAATCTGTGCACCAATGTTAACATTTTGCTCCCATTTAAATTTGCAAAGGCTCCTAGCATGACATTACGACTTATTGGTACTTAGGTAATGAAATGTTTTCTTTCTAGATCATCATTCTACTTTTGAAGAGTTGATTTGCGTATTTCAAAATGATAATTTGAAAAGTGATTAGTTAATTGATTCCTTGGGGAGTAAATTTCTTTATTTTAATTCGAATATCCACTTTGTAATAAATTCAAATGATTCAGTGACCAGTAAGATTTATGCATTTAAAATGTAGTTGGATATTTCTTCAATATTTTTTTGTGAATTTAACTTTGATAAAACCTATTTTCTCTGTTGAAAAGGAACTTTTACAACACTTGAGATGCATTTTTGGAGATTGAGAACAAAATAAAATGTCAATCATCCTTTTAAAAAACTCCGTCAATCAAATTCATTTAATTTTACGGAAATTATGCATTAAATCATATGATGAGCCGTCCTTTATGCTAATAATTATTTACTTGATGATGAATATGCATATGTATTTTAGCAATTTTTGGTGAATGAATTTTATTTTTGGAAGTTCATGCTTTACTATTGGGTTTTCATTATTTAGCATTATATATTCAAGGTCAAATTTCAGTCTTATAATCAAATGTGCACCTCTTCTTGCTTTATAATTTATGAGGGCCTTTCAATAACAAACAGCAAATCAATTTCGAATTTTAATTTGATGATAACATTTGTTTTTTTGGAAACGAAGTATTTAAGGATGTTTGAAATAAATGTGAAAACAGAGACTTTAACTGTCTAAGCACTTCTCCCATCATCAGTCTGTTACAAATTACAATTCAAGGTAGAAATTGCAATATTGGTAACCATACAAGTTGAAAACGTTGTCGGAAGATTTCTGGTGGTTGCTTGATATTGACGTACATTTTTGGACTTGATATTTATTAAATGACAAGTAATTCAATAAACTTAAATGATGAATTAAAAAATAAAACCCTGTTAATACCACCTATACTTTAACAATTTAAATTTTTTTGTAAATAAGATTAGTATTCTTTTAGATGGGGTGCGCGATAGACTTACCTCTACGTGGTGCACCCTGAACAACGTATCTTCGTACGGCAAATGGTCTATCACTCGGCATTCGATTTGACTTTGACTTATTATGATTAGCTTGAAAAAAGGCTATAAGAAAAATTGCCTTCATCAGGGCGAATCACAACGTCTTCAGATCATCCAGTGGAATGCTGGAGGAATGTCACAGGACAAAAAGATCCAAGTACAAAAAATCCCACAAATCTATGATGTAGACATTTTCACAATTATGGAAGCAAACCTTTCGGATGACAAACTGAAGTAGTATTAGCTCCCGGGTTACAAACTGTACAATCTACCTAAATACCGGAAAGTTGCAAGTGGAATTCTAACTGGAGTAAAAGAAGGCCTCACCTCACACTACGATCTAATCAAAAGTATAGGCTCGACACAAGACAAATGTGAAATAATCAGATTAAATGTTTAGAAATGTCAAAACCACTTCAAGATATATGCAGTCTATAATCCACCCCAGAATTGACCAGACTTTGACTTTCTGAACATCTCACACAAAACTGTAATATTAGGGGACTTTAACGCCCATTCCAAGAGATGGGGCTACAAGGATACAAACATAGCTGGAAGGAAATTGAAGACATGCTAAACAGCAACCCTCTGGAACTTATTTACAGCAATGAGGATCCGGTTACATATCTGCACTCTAATGGAACCAGAACACCTCCTGACTTACTCTTGGCTTCAAGCGACATCAGTGAGCATACTCGCAGCAAAATAACTGACTATCCTGGTTCTGGTCACAAACCAGTCATTGCTAGTATTACCATCGGTAGCAAAAGCATGTCAAGGAAAGTGCCAACTAAGCTATCATGGAATTTCAAGAAGGCTGACTGGTCTAGAAAACAAATCTTTTCGAGAAAGAACTCCACAAAAGTCCCCTCAACTTCAACCAACATCCTGACAAATTTTGCACTGATATCACGATTATTATGATAAGCTGTGCAAAATAACTATTCCCCGAGGCAAGACTTAACACTAAACACCTTGTGTAACTGAAAAGAAAGTGAGATGCCCTTCGCAATACTGCTGATCAGACTGGAAGAACGGAAGACGTAAAAGCCTGGAGACGACAATCAGCTGTCCTAAGGCAAGCAATCTTAAAAGCAAAACGGATTTCCTTCGACAAGTTCATCTCAAATATCAACTATCAATGTGATAGCCAACACACTTTCGAATTTCTGAGAAACCTGCAAAACAACAGAGAAAGACCCAAGAAAGAACCATTACGCTTAAACAGCAAATCGCTTACCGCCGACACCGAAATAGCTAACTGCTTTGCGAGGTTCTNTAGTATGGAAAGAGAAGCTAATTCTAAAATTGACAAAGTTTGGTATTAAGCATAACATGCTAAACTGGAAAAAACCATTCATTGAACAAAGATCGTGTAAAGTCAGAGACGGAAATGCACTAACAAAACCAATCTTTTACAAATATTTCTTCCACAGGGAGCTATCACAATCTGCAAATTTTTCAATGTCTTCATCAATGACAGATGACTTGGTAAAGACAGTCACGGGCATCAAGTGCTTACTTTACGCAGATGATCTTGTTCTATGGTATTCTGCCTGTAAGAAAACGCTCAGCAGAGGTGCGAATGTGCTTATAATAGTGCACTTAAACTACTAACAGACTGGTGCGAGAACAATGGAATGGTAATCACTACTGCAAAAATTGCATTCCAAACTTTTGCTTTGGCCTATCACAGCATAAAACCGCTCCTAGTGTACAAGGATACTACCCTAGTAAAAGCCAATGAGTTCACTTATCTTAGAATGACGTTTGACACAAAGCTAACGTGGAAAAGTCACATTGCTGAAATAGCAGAACGAGTCTCCAATAGATTGAATGTACTGAACCGTCTTGCTGGTAGCGTATGGGGCTGTGCACGCTCAACTCTCAACACCACTTACAAGATGTTTATTCAGCCAATGATGTTGTATTGCTGTGAGCCACTCATTACAGCCACAGAGGAGATTCTCAAACCACTCGAGAAGGCACACAACCAAGCATTACGACTAATTACTGGAGGGATAAAATCAACACACATTGATGCAATACTCCTGGTTACAGGAAGCATAATAATATGTTCCCTTATCAAAGAAAAGGCCTTGATCTTATATGAGTAGCTTCTGCGCATTCCCATGGACAAGTTTTTTAACACCAATAGACCAAGACATCTGAAAACGCAGTCTCGTCTAATACAGAAAGCCATAGAACTGAAGAAAGCATTACAAATCGATGATAAACCAAAAAGGCTCTCTCTCCCCATTAACCCATTGGCAGACATTGATGTAGTGTGTTGCACCCAACTGCTCGACTTCTTCAGGAAATCAAACACTCCTCCCGAGCAAATGCGCTCACTGGCCCTTGAGACAATCAATGTCAACTATCCTGGAGATCAATGGCTCCAAGTCTTCAGTGATGGATCATACATAGAAAACCAAGCAAATGTTGGTGTAGATGTCTATTCTCAACATTATAATAGCACTTAGCCAATTATATTGGCTGAATACGAAATCCAACAATGTAGTGATACTTTCGGACTCACAGTCTGCAATAAACCCAATTTGAAACAGAGAGCCATCCGAAACAGCTGGGATAAAGGAATGTAGAAAACTCTATGTGCTGCCGAGAAAGAAAAACAAAACAGTGGTCATACAATGGACTCCTGGTCACTGTGGCATTAAAGGCAATGAGCTTGTCGACACACTTGCTAAGAAGGGGACATCTATTTTGCAATGCATGGACCGGCCGATGTCTTTCCACACAATGAAGGCCTTAATGAGAAGATAATTCAAGAGCTCAAGGCGAACGAACTTAAATCTCGAAGAAAGGAGTGACACTGGGCAGTGGCACTCTCCGAAATAGCCAACTGGCCAAGGATCGAAGCTGTTGCTGAGTTTTGATTACGTACCGGACACGATTGCCCGGCAAAACACTTTTGCAGTTTGGGAGTATACACTCAACCCACATGTTCTCTATGTAACCGACAGGAGGAAATGGATAAGACCCACCTGGTTCGGTGTCCAGCCCTAAAGACAAGGACGGAAAGCCAAAGATACTGGGAAACAAGAAGACTGCTAATGAATTGCTATTAATTAACTCCCCCACCCTTGGGGGAAGCTGAAGTCAAAGTTTATGGGTAAATGATAAATATCATGAAGCCTTCGATTTGAAATAAAAAAATGTTTTTTAGATATCGCATATATATTTTTTATCCTTTATTGGTGGCGATTATTTTAAATTTTACAACTTGTTATAGGGGAATATGAATCTCTTCCTTCAACTATTTACCCAACGTCTGAAAAGAGATTGCATTTTATCAGTGGTTGGTGGTAGCATTGGTAATAGGATTTTTGAAATATTTTTGAAATTATAATTGGCAAACAAATGTCAACTTGATAAATATCTATATGTGTTGCATGAAAAAATCACTATATAAAATACCTGTATTTCAGCTCTTCTCGTTGGCCTCGACATGAAATTCTATGTTTACCCTTAATCAAAACCGTGTTAATAATATTCAACCTGCAACTTATCCTTAGCACCTAACATAGTGCATACAACAATAATTGTCTTCTTTATCAATTAATTTTGAAAAAATACTTTCATAAAATATGTACATTTATAATCACTCCTTTCGAAATGTTTATTTTCTCTTCAATTTGTACAAGCTGAATACTTGCCTATTAGAAGTACGTATTTTGCCTAAACAATTACACGGTTTCCAATTAGTTTTGCAGTTAAGAAAAGCATTCAAAATGGCTATCGTTTTACAGAATTTGAAACGATTTTAACTTTTGATAATATAAATCTTAAAGCTTTTGAAATATCTCAACTATTTTGATTTATTCTTAAATAGTGGTCATTCTTTTAATGCATAGCAACTTATCTAGGTGCATGACAATTGCTTCCTTCTGATATTTACATATTTACCTGTCTTAATTATGACAAGGTATTGTAAAAAATTGTTTTTCGTAGGGCTATTTGCATTTTCACTAAGCTGCGGTTGAAATATTGTTCAACATGTTAATAATAAACTTAAATCAACTAGATGAATATCGATATTTGTTGCATAAATGATTTACTGGATATGAAAAACGTGTAGAGCTCATCATGAAATTCTTTGTGCGCCTTTTTTCATAATTGTGTTATCTATTTTTATCCCTCAGCTTACCATCCATTATAGGAATTTTAAATGAATCTATTTACATTTTACTAGACAGTGCAATGATTGGTGTCAAATATAAGACTAAGTGACTTCATAATAAGTTGAAATTAGTAAATACATTCATAAATGGTTTGCCATAATTGAACTTCTACTCATCTACGCAGAAAAAAGTAAATTAAAATTTAAGGAAAAGTTCTTCCATAAACACGAAATATTGCTTTTAACACAGCAAAAATTAGGAACTTGAGCTATTTTTATTTCATGTCATTGTTCTATTCACACAATTCATGAAACTGAGCTTTTGTTGATTATGATAAACGAGGTAATTGCACTCATTAATTATATCAAAAATTTATTTCTTTCATCTTTGCTAAATTTATGCCTTTTAGGAAGGAAAAAGGAGTCAATCAATATTCGATTCATCTCCTTATTGACGTAAGATGGTATGTTAACGTCGTTCCAAAATGTTTACCAGTCATTAATAATGATTCAAAAAGTTGAATCCTTGCAAAAACGCACGAAACAAACAAACCAGTTTTGGACAAAAGGCATTTAAGATGACCATCTGGAGTTGATCTTGAGCTTGATATCAAGCGTTTGAATTTTAGAGTAATAAAAGTTACGATCCAACACATCCGTTCCCATGTGATTAAGCCTAATTAAATGTTTTTGACTGCATCCGACGCAAATTGTCATCCGTTCTGTTTCATTCTAGTTTTGTGTTAAATAATTGCACAAAGCAGAGACATACTCATAAATTAATAGCACTGCGCTAAAAACAGTAGTTTCTTAATCCAAGGTCAAAAATAGCAACTGAACTAATTACTTAATGTCTACTTGTATTCATACAATTTTTTGCTAAATGAAATAAAACATCCGAAAGCTTTCCCTTATTGCATTATTATTATATTATTGTAGAATCAATATTAAATGAAAAGTGATTGACTTGTTTGACTTTCGTGACTTAGTAGCGCAAATGAAAATATTCTCACACTTTTCATTACCAAAATATTATAAAAACATCAGTTACACAAATGTTTCTTATCGATGTTGCATTTTACACCTTTGAACACTGAAACAACAATTTTAGAGCGAACTCTTTAATTGTTAGTATTTTCTGATTCAGCAGGGAGAAACAATTCATTTCTTTTATTGCACCTTTCTAAGACCTGTGTTTTTAAGAAAACACCGTTCAAATTAAATAAGAACATAGAGCTCGGTGCTGGTCTCTATCCTTAAAATGTCAAATCGATTATGACATGACTATGAACCAGTTTAACAGTTCCGGTACAAACTACTTCCCTATGACTTCAAATCTTGATCGCAAATGAAAGAGTTCTGAAGAATAAGACAAAAATTTGTATTGATACCATAAATTGGCAAATCCGTTCTAGCAGTGGGCCTCATTTCAGCATCGTGTCAATCTTAGAGAATGGATGGCTTTGCAGAAATAGAATTTCCATCGTTTATTGCGTTCAATTCTCTGTATATTGCTCAATTGAAAACTCTAGTGAGAGTAGGAATGATTGGATTAAATAATTATTTTCACTGGTTAACAGATTAAATTGGTTGTGATATTTATACATACGTTTTGTAAACAAATGAAACTTTGAAGAACCGAACCTAAAATGAACCATGATTTACAGTTATGCTACTTGATTCTTTCCTTTTATTTCTTGAACATGTCTGCCGGACTTCATTCTAAAAGAAGATTTCTTACATAATTTTCACAGGAGATGAAAATAATTGATTGGTCTTTTTGATTGAGGAAATCTGAAAGCAGGCGCATCTTGCATGATGTGTTGTCGTTTTAGAAGCAGACAATGAAACTTATTTGCTAAAAGTTCAAAATTTAAGTGCCAAACTTAAACATAAATGTTGGCGAAATCCTAAACCTTTATTTCGTTTGAAACTTAGTAATAAACTGAAAACAAACATTGTTAATTTTTTCTGACCCTTTTAAATTGAATTGAAAATGATCTTCACTGAATTGATTTAATAAATCATTCATATTCAACAGGATGGGAATTTAAATTTTGCTTCAATTCCAAGGAGAAATTAATTGCTGGGAAAATAAGTCAGAAGCCTAATTTGCTAAAAAGGAACTACAGTAAAATTACGATCAACTTGTGATATTTTTGAGTAACCCGCCATAAATATTGGCGAAATCCTAAACCTTTGATTTGTCTTAAAATAATTAATATTCAAACAGAACATTGCTCATTAATTTACTCTGTCATTCCAATGGACTTGATAATGCTCCTCATCGGTTCCTATTAATAATTAATTCATAGTCAACGACGGCAAAAGCTCCAATGAAGGGTTTGCATAATTACCGGTGAAATATACCATTTGCTCCAGTGAATGATGGGAAAAATGTAAATGTAACACACATTGGTAAAGTTAATTGCAAACCGTGATCTAATGGAGTAATCAAATGTGAAAATGCAAAAATACAGCCTCGTATCATTGATCGAATTTGCTCAAAAATTCATTGAATTTCATTATTTATTGCTTAGGTGAAGTTATTGTGAATGATGTAGATTGAAATAAATGTGCTATTTAAGCTTAATAAATTAGAAATAACAAATTAAAAGAAACAACTGATTTGAATTCACATTCTTTTTGCTTTACCTGGAAGCTCTTACTCAGCTTCGATGTTTTTTTTTGTTTCTTTAGGCGTACAATTTTCTGTAACTTTGAATTTATTCCATTGCGGTGTTAAAACAAATCAGAGTGACAGAACTGCCCTAAAGATGATTGAAGATATTGCTCCATTTCTCATCTCTGAGTAAATGCATTGAGAAGGACAGAGGTAAGTAATCTACTGAGATAATGATAATTTTTTTTTACTTTGCTAACAATTTGCAATGTTTAAAGCGTTCAGTATGCGTCGTGTCTTGTGCTAAATGTTCGACAAATTGATTTCAAATTATCTATGTTCCCAACAATAATAATTTGCATTACCACTAAGGTTCAGTTGAAATATTGCTCAAAATGTTAATGGTAAACTAAAATCAATTAGAAGAATATCGATATTTTTTGCAGAAATGTTTCACTGGATATAAAAATTCTTATTGAGCTTGTCATGAAATTCTTCAAAAGAATTCAAAATTGTGTAATCGGTTTCCGTCCTGCAACTTACTCTTTTGGACCAGTATTCTTAAAGAAGGATGAAAATTTAATTACGTTTTTACTTCACAGGGGAATGTTTGGCGTCAAATATAACAATAAGTGATTTTGTCTTCAATTGCAAATAGTAAATACATTCGTGAACGCTTTGCATTAATTGACCCTCACTTCATCTAGGCAAAAACCAAA